AGGGCCCTGTGGTGAGGCCTTTGCCCTGCAGGGGGCAGAGTGAGGGGTCTGGGGGCATGGCCCTATGATGAGGACTTTGCCCTGCAGGGGGCAGAGTGAGGGATCGGGGCAGGCCCTACGATAAGGTCTTTGCCCCGCAGGGGGCAGAGTGAGGGGTCTGGGGGCAGGGCCCTATGATGAGGACTTTGCCCTGCAGGGGGCAGAGTGAGGGGCTGGGGCAGGGCCCTGAGCTGAGGTCTTTGACTGATGGGCGGAGGCATATGGGCCACAGGCAGTTTGCATTGAGGCCTTTGCCCCCCGGGGGCATGGGGATTTAGCATGGTATTCTCTCCCCCGCCGCACCCATTTCTCTGTGGCCTGGGGTTGTTTCCCAGTGGTCCAGACTCTGGCTCCATGTGGCCTGCACCAGGGCTGCTGGAAGCCTCCGCGGGAGCCAGAGGCAGAGGAGGAGAGGACTCAGAGCTACATGTGCTAGATTTCCCTCCCACACCCAGAGCTGAACCGTGACCTGGAGACCTCCCAGGCAATGCAGTTAGCAGGGGATATGTTTCTATGGGCACTGGGTACGTCCCTGCCGCCCTACAAACTGGGCAGGCGTGAGATGTGATAGGGAGAACTCTCCCCTGCAGCCCGCTGTCTCTGCAGCAAGGCTCTGCTCTGCTGTTTGCCGGGCACAGCAGGAGGCAGCATTGGCACTTCCTGGTCTGAGGTCCTCACCTCCCCGGGGTGGTCGCACTCTCACTAAGGGAAGGGATGGAAGCTCATCTGAGCTGCCAGTTGCTGAAGTCAGCTCAGTGACCCAGCCAACCTCCTGCCTCCTTGGGCTGGGATTCCATCTCTGGTCGCGTCTGCAGGGCGCATGGGGCCGTCCTGCAACGCTCCGATCAGTTCTCTTGCCAGCCCTTCCTGAGCTAGCACCTCCACCTCTGTGGGCCCCACAGTCTGGGCTTGCAGGGTTAGGGGGCTGGAAAATGGGCACTTCTCTGGGACCGTAAACAAACAGAAAATCCCTCTGAGTCTCCAGGCGTGCTGGATGAGAGCTAGACCCCTGCTAGGGCTCTCTGGTAACTGGAGCTATGTCTGCGCCCTGGCTTAGGTCTGGCCATACCTAGGGCTGTAACAGCATGAACATGAGGGGACACTGCCATTTACCTAACAGTTGCTGAGTGACAGGGCCATGAGATCCCACTTCCACAACATTATCCCTGCATCAGCAGGAGGCTCCCCCATCCCTTGAAATCCGGATATTGCTGTTTGTTCTTTCGGTGCTGTTCCAGGCTCCCCATTGGCTCCTGGGCAGTTACATGATGGGTGTGAGGCTGAGTTCTGCATGCATCATCCAAACGGTCTCCATGCAGATCCCCTCGGGGGGAGAAGGCCTTGGAAGAAGCAGAATTTCTGATAAACAATTCTTTGCATGCTGAGGGTTGCAGGCTGGCAGCCTGGTGGTGTCCTTTTATCCCATGATCTTCCTCGGCTCTGGCAGCATTCCTAGGGCCCTCGGATCCAGAGCTGGACTGTGCTCACACCTCAATGATATTGACAGATAGAGACTTTTTCTACAAGAGAAAAATCAGCATTAAGACCAGATTTTCCCAAATGCTCAGGACCAGATTCCCCCTGGGTTCAGTGCGCCCTGCGCCACAGGGATCCGCTGTGCTGAGCTCTTTTGGAGACCTGGTCCCAGTCAGGGGTACTGAGCCCTTCTGAGCGTTCCACTGAGGTGTCAAGTGAGGGGTGTGCTCCCCTCTCCCATGGGCCCAGTGACAGCATCCCCCCCGGGCCAAGCAGTGGTGCGCACCCCGCCTCCCATGGCCTGGTGCTGTGCTCTGGCTTTAGCCTCTCCTTGAGGTTTCTTTATAAAACTTGAGACTCAATAGAGACTAAAGCACTTCATGGTGATCTGACTCCCTGCAAGAAATGCAGATAAATGCCATCGTGCCCCCCCCCCCCCCCCCCCCCCCCGCACCCCTAAGAAACCCAACTGACCAACACAGAAAAAATAACATTAGGAAAACAAACAAACCCAAATCCCTCCCCAAATGGAGATTTTGCCCCAAAATGAGAGATGAGCCAGCCACCCCAGTCTCTAGGGACTGGGCGATTTCTGGGAGTTTCAGGTGGAAGATGCTCAGATATGCGGTGATGGGCAGCCGTATGAAACCCTGAGACAGACAGATAACAATTGCTTGTATCACATGGGGATGAAGTTCTTTCCAGGCCATTAGTAACTAGGGAGAATGTTAAACAGCAGCGATTAGGGATAAACATTTTAAAATCAGCTGTGAGAACTGTCACCGAAGAGTAAAAAAGAGTTGGCTGAGGATCTCTGGCTGCTGATGTTCATTGTTAATAACTCTCGGACCACTAGAGAAATGCCAAGTGACTGGAAGAGCCCTAGTGTTGTGCCAATATTCAAAAAGAGCAAGCAGGATGATGTGGATAACTATAGGTCAGTCAACCTGATATCAATCCCAAGAGACTAATGGATAAGCTGATATGGGGTCATATGGACTGTGTCATACAGGAGGTCAGACTAGATGATCACAAGTGGTCCCTTCTGGCCTTGTAATCAAAGAAGAATGAGTATCTGAGGGAGCAGGCAGTGTGCTTGTGGCTGGAGGTGGCGATTATCACCCCCTAAAATCATAGAATCTCAGGGTTAGAAGGGACCTCAGGAGGTATCTAGTCCAACCCCCTGCTCAAAGCAGGACCAATCCCCAACTAAATCATCCCAGCCAGGGCTTTGTCAAGCCGGACCTTAAAAACCTCTAAGGAAGGAGATGCCACCACCTCCCTAGGTAACCCATTCCAGTGCTTCACCACCCTCCTAGTGAAATAGTGTTTCCTAATATCCAACCTACACTTCCCCCACTGCAACTTGAGACCATTACTCCTTGTTCTGTCATCTGGTACCACTGAGAACAGTCTAGATCCATCCTCTTTGGAACGCCCTTTCAGGTAGTTGAAAGCAGCTATCAAATCCCCCCTCACTCTTCTCTTCTGCAGACTAAACAATCCCAGTTCCCTCAGCCTCTCCTCATAAGTCATGTGCTCCAGCCCCCCAATCATTTTTGTTGCCCTCCGCTGGACTCTCTCCAATTTTTCCACATCCTTCTTGTAGTGTGGGGCCTCTGGTTACAGAGCCATGTGCCTGCCACACTGTTCTTGGCTAAAATTCATTAAACAAACAACAGAACTGGCAGCCTCAAAGGACCCCTGGTACCCCACATTTATTATTACTGGGGTTAACTCCAAAGCACCATGGAGGTCGAGGCTCCCTTCCACTGGCTGCTGCCCACGACTAAACTAAGAGACAGTCCCTGCCCCAAACTGCTTCTTGTCTTAAGAAATCTGAAGTCTCTTACCACATGACCACCCCCAGTGCCTTGCACACACAGACCCCATCCCCATCTCCCAGTGCCTCGCACACCCAGACCCCATCCCTACCTCCAGTGCTTCATACACTCACCCCATCACCCAGTGCCTCGCACATCCAGTCCCCATATCCCAGTGCCTTGCCCACCAGACCCCATCCCCCAGTCTCTAGCACACACACACACCCCATCCCCCAGTGCCTCGCACACACAGACCCCATCCCTCAGTAACCCGCTCCCCCCGTTACCTTGCTGCGCAGTAGCCCCCCCGTGGGTCGCTCCGGTGTGCTGTGCTCTGAGGACGGCTTGGTCTTTTCCTTGTTGTTGTTGGAGTCGTTGTCCTTGATAATGTCATACTGTCTGCAGAAGAGTGCGATCACGGCTACAGAGAGAGACAGACGTGGTTTGAGGGGGTGTCCCCAACACCACCCCCCGCCCACAACACCGCCCCAAATACCACCTTCTTCCAACACTGCCATCCCCCAACACCGTGCCCTTCCTGCAACTCACTGTCTCCAACACCACCCCCCTGGAAGTACCCCAACACCTTCACCCCAACACCACCCCTCCTCACAACTCCCCTTCCCCACAACACCCCATCTTTCCCCACAACACATCTTCCATATATCTCCCCCAATACCACCCCCACCCCACAACACCCGTTTCCCACATCTCCCCCAACACCACGCCTCTCCACATCTCCCACAACATCACACCAAATACCACCTTCTTCAAACAACACCATCCCCCCAACACTGCCCTTCCCCACACCACCTCTCCTCACAACTCCCCCAGCATCCCACCTGTCCCCACAACACCCCTTTCCCACATCTCCCCCAACATCACTCCCTCCACATCTCCCACAACATCGCCCCAAATACCACCTTCTTCCAACAATGCCACCACATCTCCCTCAACAC